AAATCAGTCAAGGTCGCATCGGCAGATGTCAGAGTCTCACTATTTAATAAATTAATTTCACTAGTATCTGCCGATGGAGTCTCGTCCACTATCCGGGGGAAAAATGGGGTGTCAAGAAAATCGTCGTATGATTTCATACATTTATTGGACTTAGCCTTACTTTTACCCAGCTTCCTAGTCTTTGTCTTCAGTTTGACCAGTCTATTTTGAATGTAATTGTCACCAAACGTCACACAGTCGTCATGTAAAGTAGTTATGATAGACCAATGCTCCGTAGTTGTCGGGAATTTATTAACAATGCCTAGTATTAGCCTATTTGTGATTTTTGCCATAGGTAATTTGGTTACAGTGCTCAAATCATAGGGGTACTTGTCCAATCCAATGCTGGATAGCAAATCATCGTTGGACGTCATCTTGCAGGGCTCAGTCTCAGATCTAGAAAAACCCTAGGTCCGTCGATCAAGGCTTATGGCTACAGAATAATTAAAGAAGATACTATGATTATGAAAATAATTTACACCAAGTTATGGAAAAGTGTCTGGAAAATAAAGACTACCAATAAAAAGTTTGTTTCGGTTATTTTCCGGTCTCAAATAGTTCTGCGCATTTAGAGCTAGCAAATATTTATTTCCTAAAGTAAATAGAGCGCCACGTAAACGAAGGTTGTAACCGGTAAATAAAAGTAAATCCCACTGTTTCACGAAATTTTAACTAAGATAAAATCCAAATTTTAGTAATTTGATTGGATAATATTAGATTGATTTTAGTGCTTAGCCAATCAAAATTGAAATATCTACTAAAATTTGGATTTTATCTTTAGTTAAAATTTCGTGAAACAGGTCCCTGATTTTAACATAGAAGTGAGACTGCTAGAAGTAAAACGTAGACTTTCAGAAGAAAAACCCGTGCTGTGCTCTATACTAATCTCTGGGTTAAGAGCCCCAAGTTAACTTTACTGAGCAGTCGAATATTTCATTCCATCTTATTTCCGTTGTATCTATGACAGATTGGCTACTTAAAACACGACGGGATAGAGGTTTTCTAACATTCTATTGCAGGGGCTAAAGCTGTGACAGTATTGGGTCTTTATATCAAAGTTCTGATGACAAGACTAGTTTAACATATAATAATACTTTTATTCTCTGCTTCTTCTAACATATTATGTACAAAACTTAAAAACTCCATAACTAACTTGTATTGAGGGAGCCATGGCCCTAGCTCGGCTAGGCACGAGTGTGCCAACTCCCAACTAACTTACATTACGTGGCCGTTGTCCGGTCTTAACTCCAGACCTGCGTGGCCTGTCCTGGTCGGACCTCTCTGTGTATTTGTTTCTTAATCTGGGTTTATAAACCCTTCCAAACAAAGGATCGTATTAGGCGTCTGGCTAATGTATCATATCAAGTTTAACATTCGATACATGCTAATCAGACAAAGAAAGTTTAAATAAAACATGCCAGCAAGTTAACGTTTACATAATCATTACATAATCACATAGACCAAGAACTCCAGGCATGTCGATAACGAACAGGTGTCAGGTTGGCAGGAAGCGTCTTTAACATCAGATAATCTGATTATGTAACAAAGCTCTACAATGGAATTTCTCATGCAACCAAAGTGAAAGTCATCCAAGAACTTTTCTTTCTCAACACATAGTTTAATTTTTAATTCATGAATCGCACCAAAATTGTCGATTCGGGGAGGTCCACAAACTTCATAAATATTTCACATTTTGCGTGAACGGAAGGTCCGATGATCACCAAACTTGAACTCACTCGTTTCAAGTTTCATGGAAATCGGTTAAAAATTGTTACAACCTTGGTATTACATAATTTTACACTACACGAAAAGTTTTTGTCCGATTTTCACGAAATTCGGACCTAACCATGCAACGGTGATATATTTGAACGCTTTTGAAAATAAGATAAAAATTGCTACCTTTAAGTTAGAAACGTGATTTTTCGTATAAACACGGTCCATAATCAAGAAAGTTACGACCCGATAAGCGTAGGAAATAAATTGTGACCTCCCAGCCGTACCATGGGATAGAGCACGGTCGGGATAGATCAAGGATGGCTGAAAAGGCTGATACGTGTGTAGATTTGTCTGAAAAATATAAAATTGCCGATTGCCAATACGTTATTTACACCATGGACCGTACTTCAGGGTCCATGGTAACACACAGAAGTTAGAGAATAAGGCTTATGGAATGGTTTATTCGAGTTTTCTTGATGAATTTGACAGATTAAGATCTTCTTATTAGAATATATATATATAGGCTCACGACAAAAAATTGGTGAAATGATCCATGTTACCAGTTAACCGGGATGGAGTCAGCGTTGTTAGAAAATGTTTTAAAAGCATTTCTTCATCCCATCGTCAAAAATATAGTTTTAAAAACGGGTAAATAGCAGAAAATATAGCAGGCGAAACAAATGACATGGGCCAATGGTCCGGGCCATTTGCGTCCGGGTGCTGGTTCAGACTGTAGTCGCGACCACAATTTACACCCGATGGTCGCCCTGGCTATTATATGCTTTTACATTATTTGCGTAAAGGGGAGTAGCCATTTGAACTTTGAATTTGTACTCAGTCGTAATGGTGTGTCTCATGGGATAACAATTATTAATGGACATTTCACGGTTACGATTAGGCGATTGCATACAAAAGAACTGATTTTGAAGATTTTATACGGATAGATGTATTTTTACAAAATTCCATACCACCCTTTGTACAAGTAATTTTTCTTTAAATTTTAGATATGTAGTATTTTGTAGACGTGAACTTGACAGAACATAATGCTCGAGGTGATGACCATTAAATGTTGTATATGGCAGTCAGTTAATATCAATTCTGCTTTTCTTTTTTCGTCAGACCTTTCGTTATGCTGTATGATGAAGTTTTAAAGCTGATTGGAGAGTTTGGGCGATACCAGAAGATACTGAGTATTCCAGTTTGTATCCAACCATTAACTTCAGCTTTGATGTTATTGGTGACGATATTTTCCATAGCTACTCCGCCACACAGGTACATAGAGAATCTCCTATATGGAAGCCTATAACTACCATTCATAATTTCTACATTTCGCCTCTTCAGAACGCGAAAGTCGAAAAGTCGAAAAGTCGAGGTTACGACGAAATGTGAGGCGTCAAGACGGTATATAAGCCAAAATCAACTCGAAAATAGGAAATTAAGAAATAACACACAGCGATAATAGCGCACCTCGTTTTTTCCTAATTTCTTATTTTCGACTTGCATTTTGGCTTGTATACCGTCTTGTCGACTTTCGACTTAGTCATATTTTTGTATTTATTGATGTCAGTAAGAAGGCGCCAACACGCTATACAAGCCAAAATCAACTCGAAAATAGGAAATTAAGAAATAACACACAGCGATAATAGCGCACCTCGTTTTTTCCTAATTTCTTATTTTCGACTTGCATTTTGGCTTGTATACCGTCTTGTCGACTTTCGACTTAGTCATATTTTTGTATTTATTGATGTCAGTAAGAAGGCGCCAACACGCTATACAAGCCAAAATCAACTCGAAAATATGAAATTAAGAAATAACACACCGCGATAATAGCGCCCCTCGTTTTTTCCTAATTTCTTATTTTCGACTTGCATTTTGGCTTGTATACCGTCTTGTCGACTTTCGACTTAGTCATATTTTTGTATTTATTGATGTCAGTAAGAAGGCGCCAACACGCATACAAAGCCAAAATGTAACTCGAAAATAGAAAATTAACACACTGCGATATTAGCGACCTATGATCTGTCGAACTGTCGACTTTTCGACTTTCGCCTCGGAAGTTGTTGTAGCCTCAATTTTCCAGGTCGCATTTAAATACATGCAATTTGCGTTAACAAAATAGTCTGTATGATAAAGTCTAGTATTGAAGACGATATTAGCGACCTATGATTTTGGCTTTTCGCCTCGGAAGTTGATGTAATCTCTACTTTCAAGGTCATATTAGAATAGTCTCAAGCGCTGAGTATTGTCATACTGCGTTGGCAGCTAAAACTTACTTCGAGACAAGCCACTGAAGCGTACACATTCGCCGTGTCGAGTCCAACTTTCCGTAGAGAAAATTTTCACTTCACCGGACACCCTGTCACGAATTGTTTGATTGGTCGATAAAAATATCACAATCATCAGTGACGGATAATTTGAATATGTGTTTCTCCGTCTATGGACGCAGGCGTTAGTGGAGTAGAACGAAACGGTACCACTGGGGATACCGAGGATGCTAGCGCACAGACTATTCCATAGTTTCCGCCAAGGATTGACAAAGTTACGTAATACCGACATGGATAAATGTGTGGATCGGTCCCATTATATATAGAATAACTAAAAGACGTTTAGTAACTAAATAGCAGTTTCACCATATTTCCCAATTTCAACAAGAAGGCAACATAACGCCTATAAACGTTTTAGGTTCGAAGTCACTGTTCACAAACAAAATATTTTTAAATGGTAACGTGCAATATCAAAAAATATTTGTACTAAAAATTAAAAGAATCATTCAAATTTTACAGGTGTAAATTACCAGGATATGAAAACGACACCTATCATCAACAAAACAATTACCATGGATACCTAATAAACCAGTCCATACCACAATCTTCTAGTTGTCTACTACGTAATACTACAGTTGATAAATATGGTAATATGACGTCAGTGGAATATAAATGTAGTTCATGGGTTTATGATACTTCTACGTTCATATCAACACTAGTTACCGAGGTAAATATTACAATACTACTTCTAATACACTAGTTACTAAGGTAAATATTATAATACTACTTCTCATACACTAGTTACTGAGGTGAATATTATAATACTACTTCTGATATACTAGTCACTGAGGTGAATATTATACTACTACTTCTGATACACTAGTTACTGAGGTAAATATTATAATACTACTTCTCATACACTAGTTACTAAGATAAATATTATACTACTACTTCTGATACACTAGTTACTGAGGTAAATATTATAATACTACTTCTGATACACTAGTTACTGAGGTAAATACCATAACACTACTTCTGATACACTAGTTACTGAGGTGAATATTATAATACTACTTCTGATACACTTGGTACTGGGCTATTTCTTTTAATACTACTTCTCATACCCCGGTATGTTGCGGGTGTAATTCTTCTAATACACCTGTTACTGAGGTAATTATAATAACACTACTTCTAATGCTCTAGTTTATGAGGTAAATATTATAATACTACTTCTCATAAACTAGTTACTAGGGTGAATATCATAACACTACTTCTGATACACCTGAGGTGAATGTTATAATAATACTTCTGATACACTTGGTACTGGGCTATTTCTTCTAATACTACGTCTCATAGCCTTGTTACTGGGGTAATTCTTCTAATACTACTTCTAATACACTTGTTACTGATGTAATTCCTTTAATACACCTGCTATTGGGGTAATGTTTTAAATACTACTTCCAATACACTTGTTGCTGGTGTAATACCTTTAATACACCTGCTATTGGGGTAATTCTTCTAATTCTACTTCTAATGCACTTTTTACTTGTGTAATTCCTTTAATACACCTGCTTATGGGGTAATCCTTCTAATTCTACTTCTAATACATGAATTACTGGTGTAATTCATTTAATACATCTGCTAGTGGGGTAATTTTTCTAATTCTACTTCTAATACACTTGTTACTGTTGTAATCCCTTTAATACATCTGACAGTGGGGTAATTCTTCTAATTCTACTTTTAATACACTACTTACTGTGGTAATTATGATAATACTACTTCTAATAGCTTACGGTTGGATGTTTTACGAGAGAATTGATTACTAAAACATCATTAAAACATAATTATGGACTTGTTACTTTTCCTACAATGGTTGACAGACAGGGATATTGAGTCTATTCGCTGTGTGAGAATGAAAAAACTATCTGAGACGGGATTATATGTGAAGTACACCTGGGTGAAACTGCTTCACTACTATTGACCAATCAGAATGATTTATTCATCATATCGGTGTAAAAATGTCCTTAATGGAGATGCAAAGTACGTATAAATAATCATGATAATCTAAAAAAAACAAAAAAAACTAATGTTATATTTTACTTTAGTTTAATATGGTTTGCGACGATGACATTTTAAGAAATAATGCAAAGTACGTATAAATATTCATGATAATCTAAAAAAAACAAAAAAAACTAATGTTATATTTTACTTTAGTTTAATATGGTTTGCGACGATGACATTTTAAGAAATAATGCCATTATGATGACGTTCCTGGGACAAGTATTCAGTTGCTCTATTATAAGTAACTTTGCTGACTGGTAAGTATTGATAATGGCGGATAATACATCTGTATCCGCTCGTATTTATTTTACAATTATTACCGCTGTAAATTAAATCGGGGAGAGACAGAGAAATGAGGTTTAACGTCCACTCGACACAATCTAGGTCATTTCGGGACTAATCTATGGTTCAATTGTATTCCAATAATCGGTTGCGCGTAGGGGTCTTTAGCAGTGGGAGGAAACCGGAGGACCCGTAGAAAACCCACAAGGTTGGACAGGCGACATTCATTGTTACGTACAACCGGGAAATCGAAACCACGCCAGTTGACTCAATGACAGACCTTATGATACAGCGTGCATGTGCTAACCATTCGACCCCCCCCCCCCCCTCCGCTCACCTAAACTAAATTTGAGAGATTTACATTTGAAAGTAAACGTATGCTGCTTAGATACCCTAAAGATAGATTTCAAATGTTCCTATTATTAATTAGAACAGGTGTCTCTTAAGTTTTTATATTTTACGCAGACGTGTATTGCAAAAATGGAAAATTTGACCTTTTGATCTCCGGGGTCACAAAGAACAAAGGTGAATTTAGCACGTTTACATTATTATTGAAAGAGTGATTAGTTTCGATCATTTTCAACATGTTTACATGATACAATAATGGCTACGTATTCGATTTCATTGTAAATGACCTCATTTCACCTTTGCCCCCGAATATCTCGAAACGAAAACGCCCCAACGGCGGACAGATTACCACTCGGTATCGTATTCTACGGGGAAAAAAAAATACTATAAAAAAGTTGGATCAGGTTTTGTGCCCATTTGATGGACTCTCGCCCCCCGCACTGAGCCTCTAGACTACTTTTCAATGTCATTTTTTTTAACCTTTTGGTTTTTTAAGACAAGTGTTTGAATATATATTTTCTGGTGAATATTCATGATATTGAGGCGGACGGATCGGGAACTAAACATAGGCCTACATGAATTAAATAAATTAAAATGACGTAATAGTCTGTAGTTTCGTTTGACCAGGGCAGAAAAAATGGAAACGTCAACGCCGCTTCAATATTTTTATCATGTGATTGGAACATGGAGGATATTTTATTCCTGTAATGATTAAAATCACCGGAAAGAAATGTTATTCGGCAATCCAACCCCCTATCATGCATAGGTATTTCACCTGAAAAATGGCCCTTTCCAGGCAATAAAGTAGGAAGTAAAACCCATTACTTTTTCTTTCAAATTGCCTCAGGCGGGCGTATATAAAAAGGGTGACATATGTTGGGAATTCTGTGTTCGGTGAGACTTAATGCTTAATCCACACTCCAAAAAACAATATTTGTTTTGTTTGTTTTAGTTTCGGTCGTAAACCAGTAATGGTTATTTGTAACGTAGTGTTTGTCATTTCTGCTTATTTACTGGCTTGGACACCGAATTATATTTTCTTGGTGATTGTCAGATTTTTTGTTGGAATAGGAATGGGCGGGCAAATAATATCTACATTTACTATTGGTAAGTTACCTTTTTTATTTGTGTGTATTTATAGGGGTGGGGTGGGTGGAATTCGGTAAAGATAAATTTCGATCTGAGAAGAAAGGCAGTCTTCGTTATATACCATAAGGGCAGTTAGTGCAATAGAAATGCCGGCCACAGCTTAAGGTCGATCTGGACATATGTTATCACAAAAAATCCGTGTCCAAATGGGTCAAATTTGGCAAAATTCAAAATGTCCGGCGGTTTGGGCTTGTAAATTGTGTAAATTATCAAAATATACATTTTCGGGGTAGCTGAATTCATTTCTTCCATTCGAATTTTTGTGATTAGTAAAACCGCGGAGGTAATATGAGGGGGGGGGGGAATCACTGTGGCGGTCAGTTTGGGCGAGAAAATTCGAATTAAACATGAGGATCAAGTTTGGTGTTAAACTGTACGTTTTCGTGGTAGATGCACCATGTTCGTACATATTTAGGTGATTAAGTGGTTCCCCTTCCCCTAGCTACGTCCATATAGGAGAAACACCAAATAGGGATTCAGGTTTCCGATTCGGGATTAATGCTACCCCTACCTTCGACTTAATACAATGACATTCATCCAGTATTAATTAAATTAATACAGCTATTATTATTTACATCATATTTGACCAATTAGATAATTGGACGTCCAAAACCCACAGCTACAAAACTATCACACTTGTGAGAATTCGTTAGACAACAGACAGATTCTGTAAGGGAAAAGATGTAACCATTTCTATCAGCAGACTCGCCCATATCGAGTCTGGCTGGCTAGGGTTTGAGAATGACTTTTGTATTGTAATCTATACTTTGCTTGTATGTACCAGCTTGATATATAAAATATAAAAACGAACAGTTGCATTGTTATAACTACTGAGAAGACAAACGTCTTAAGAAAATAGAAGAAAATACACAACGTGAAGGGGAAGCAAAGACAGCTAGAGACAAATTCTAGACGATCACACGGCTACTAAGATATGTAGTAAAAAAAAATGCATGGGTCGTACGTAGGATGTGGCGACCGGTTTGGTGGTCCGCTCTCCACGTCTGACAGGAAGCCCATGGTTCTACAGTACTTTTATTTAAAAAAAAAACAAACCTACAATTTCTTTTAGGAGTGGAGATTGTGGGACCTTCTAAAAGACGTTTTACTGGTGTTGTATCTAACCTCGGATGGTGTTTGGGTATATTGATTGTAGCAGCGTTGGCTTATTATATAAGAACCTGGAGATACTTACATCTAGCTGCAGCCGTCTTGACATCGTATCAATTATTCTATTTTTTGTATGTACTCTACAACGTTATATTAATAGAACACAATTTTTATGGGAAACAATCACTGGTTTATTCTAAAAGCACGACGTTTCGACAAGTATCCTCTTATCGTTATCAAGCACAATGACATTTCATAAACTTCAGATGAATATATAAGAGTGGACATGGTGAAACCATATAATAAGATAAAATAACAATAACAATAAAGATAAAGGATTAAACAAATTAGACATAAGATAAGTAGGGTAGTTAATTAGACAATCAACAACAAATGGAAAACATTTAGCTAATTATGAAGACCATCAAAGGGAGCCGTTGGATGCTGTTATGTTGTTTCAATGAGGTAATAGGGATGAAACCATTTATTAAGATATGGATAATACTTATAATAAATTAATGTAGGCATTGCATAGTCCATTAACAGTAGGCTAAATAAACAGGATAGGTGATAATATGTATGGTAGATGAGCAAGTGGTTATGACAATGAAAAAATTAAGAGTGTGAAAGCTCAAAAAAGAAATGACAAATGAAGTTAATAGCCTAATAAGTTAAACAGTCCAGAAAAAAGCCATAGGTTGGAAACATATTGTAATAAATGGGGTGATAAAGGGGGGGGGACCATTTAACTAACTATTACATACATACTAATAGTATGTGAACGCTCAAAAAGAAATGACAAATGAAGTTAATAGCCTAATAAATTAAACAGTCCAGAAAAAAGGCCATAGGTTGGAAACATATTGTAATAAATGGGGTGATAAAGGGGGGGGGGACCATTTAACTTACTAATACATACATACTAATAGTAAGAAAGCAAGTACACACTGCCAATTCTCTCAGACTAACTAAACAGTTAAAGTTTGTGATTAATGGGTTGTAACTTAAGTTGAATTGTTCATTTTGATGACCTGATCGTATGCCTTTGAAATATGCAGCCCCGCGTCCCTGTTTAGTTGGGGTGAATAGCGCCTAATGTTAATCGCTTCTAGGATTTTCCTTGTTTTTCTATTCAGTTGGTTGGTTGTTAATATCTGCACCCCATTCCAATCGACTTTGTGCTGCGGGTGGTTCTGTAAGTGCTCCGCTACGGCCGAGTTGTTGGTGGCAGTTTTGGACCGGTGTTCTGATATTCGCTTATCAAGTGGACGTTTAGTTTCGCCAATATATGAAAAATCACACGAACAATTCACTTTGTATACAACTCCTTTATCACCCCATTTATTACAATATGTTTCCAACCTATGGCCTTTTTTCTGGACTGTTTAATTTATTAGGCTATTAACTTCATTTGTCATTTCTTTTTTGAGCTTTCACACTCTTAATTTTTTCATTGTCATAACCACTTGCTCATCTACCATACATATTATCACCTATCCTGTTTATTTAGCCTACTGTTAATGGACTATGCAATGCCTACATTAATTTATTATAAGTGTTATCCATATCTTAGTAAATGGTTTCATCCCTATAACCTCATTGAAACAACATAACAGCATCCAACGGCTCCCTTTGATGGTCTTCATAATTAGCTAAATGTTTTCCATTTGTTGTTGATTGTCTAATTAACTACCCTACTTATCTTATGTCTAATTTGTTTAATCCTTTATCTTTATTGTTATTGTTATTTTATCTTATTATATGGTTTCACCATGTCCACTCTTATATATTCATCTGAAGTTTATGAAATGTCATTGTGCTTGATAACGATAAGAGGATACTTGTCGAAACGTCGTGCTTTTAGAATAAACCAGTGATTGTTTCCCATAAAAATTGTGTTCTATTAATGTGTTTTCCAATCGCTAAATGCCACTTAAAGATTATCTACAACGTTATAGATTGGTTGTAGTTTGGTTAAGGACCACAAATGTCTGATATTTCATTTCCAGTGTATGTCACTGCCATATGGAGTTCACAATTATTTAACGTAGTTTCATAACGTTATATATTAGGCATCCAACCAACGAAACTGTTTCGCATTTAAGTAATGTACACAGATTTATTTTACGTCGTATTATCTAGGTTTATAATTATCTTAATTAGCTTCTGGTTTCGGGATGCCTGCTTATATGATTTCGATATTTGTGGCTTTATAGCATTTGTATGCTATTCAAAAATACACAGGAACCCGAGCAGTGGGTAACTGTCTCTCCCCTATCTGACAGATACTCAATCATATTTAAAAATTATGATATCCTCTTCTGAAACTCCCCTGTTTTCCCATTTGAAAAGCGATACTACCTGTTTAAAAGACTATGTGAGGCAACCATTTTGGTGAGAATTAAATCGTAATTTCTAAACATATTTTGTTATTTTAAAGAATTTTGGTGAGAATTAAATCGTAATTTCAAAACATATTTTGTTATTTTAAAGAATGTTACCGGAAAGTCCACGTTGGTTATTAACACGAGGTCAACTTGATAAGGCAAGAAAATTAATCAAGAGGGCAGCGGATGTCAATAAAACGATTATAAGTGATGATATATTATCAAAATTAAGAGCACCTGAAAAGCTCGCAACAGCAAAATTTTGGAAACTTTGCTCAACAAAAAAATTAACAGCGAGAACACTTACAATTTATTTTGTGTGGTAAGTAAAAAAAAAACCCAAGTTCTCAATTTATGTAGTCCTCGAATACAATATGGTCAGTACTTACATATAAAAAGACTGATCCATGAATGGACCTATTTCACTGGGTAATCTTAACATGTATACACGTATATATTTTATAAACTATTGTTTGACATTTTGTCCGGAAGCTATTCAATAAACTAGAAATTTAAAATGCAGAAGTGTGTTGTTTTTCTAGATATCGCTTATCTAATAACAGTCCTTCAAGATATTCTATAGAATTAAATGTATTTATTTGCAGGTTTTCTGTCAGTGTCACGTATTTCGGTATAATGCTCAATTTAGAGATTTTGGTGGGAAATATATATCTGAATCTATCTCTAACAGCCATCATTGAAGCAGTCTGTTACACATTTGTTACATTTTTGATAGAAACATCAGGAAGGAAGAAACTTATATGTGGCTGTTATTTTCTACAGATTCTATCATTAATAGCTGTGATAATTATACATTTATACGTACCACCAGGTAAATATTTATAAAAACTAAATTAATTATTATAAGTAACAAATAATATATTTTTGTCTGGTCGCCCAGTAAATAGCATTTTAAATACCCTTGGTCTTAAGGCACAAACCTACTGAAATATCCGAGAAACGTTTTGTGTAACAACAGTCTTATTTTCGTCTTGCATCTTCCTTTCTGTACAGTTGGTTAAAGTGTCAGATTAATGGATTCGACACCCACACCCGCCATCCTGTCGATATAGTATAACTAAAATAAGATTGCATCTGTATCTTTTACTCTACTGTATTAACATATCTTATACCCCCCATCAGACCGGGGTGACGTCCTTACTGCGCTGCTACGGCGACGGAAAATGGTCCCAGGGCGCGTCAAGATCGTCATTAGCGTGGTAAAAGCGTGATGGAAACGTCAGATATCGTGTGTGGTCTCCGTGGTCACCAATGATCGCCGAGTCACGGCGTTTGTTTTGAGCATGTTCAAAACAAACGCCAAGGTTCTGCGATCTGACCTGGAAAGCTGTGAGGAGGCGACTTTGTTCAAGAATGTAATTTTTGGGGACATTTTCTCGCGATGTATTCACGTTTGCCGGCGACCTTGTACATTTTCTGGTTGCCGTACGGTCGCCGCCCTGGTCTGACGGGGGCTTTAGGAAGTATGTTGCCAATAGATCGAATCACTTCACATATAGACATTTTGGGGTTGTTTTTTTTGTGGGGGAGGGGGATGATTTTGAGTATTGATGGCGCCACTATACTATACGGTAGGAAGTAAATAATACTGCAGACCAACAACAATTCAAGACCCAAAAACCACATTCAATTTGGGAATTATTTTCACTATATACGTTTCTATGGATGTTCGTACATGAATTTACCTAGGGAAGAAGTGGTGGTCCTTTTGGTTATTAAGTTCCGTTTTCTTAGATCTGAATTGGTTGATGACGGTATTTACCTTGATTGGTCAGTGTGGAACTATATGTAGTTTTGCTATAGTTTGGTTGTGGACGAGTGAACTTTTCCCGACAGAATTAAGGAATGTTGGAACCGGTAGCGGTTCCGCTTTAGCACGGGCAGGAGCTCTGGTTGCACCGTATTTAGAATTATTGGTAAGTAGGCTTACATGATTTTAGATACCTGTACAAATGTGGGGCGCCCCGTCTTTAGTAACTTAATCGCTTAATTATATAATATTGAATTACTGTTCACAGTTTTGTGTGATGCATCATTAATATATATATTCCATATATTCAGTTCTTGTAAACTTAATCATAGCATGACAACACCTACCTTTTAGTTTCATTTTACGAATTTCAGAGTAAATTAGTTCCCGGAAAATTTAAAGAGGTTTCGCCATTTTTATTTTTTGGCATTATTTGTATGGTTGCTCTAGTTCTAATCATCTGTGTTCTACCCGAAACAAACAAACAGAAACTACCAGATACTGTAGATGATGCAGAAAGAGTGGAACCTGGGTAAGATAAGTTTATGTGTGTTACTAAAAGTACTAGTGTTTTGGTTTACAAAAGCTTTAACATCACGTTCAATCATATGGATTGTTCTCAGGGCGTTATGCGTATTGTATCAGATTAGAGCAGCGGGCCAGTACTCTCTTGGGCTAATGCCCTGAAACAATTATTCCCAAAATACAAGCGGAAATCCCTGCATCATATGGTTATTAATGCCTTGTATTCGTCCTTGTGATGATAGGAGATATATGTTATTATTCTTTCCCTTAAACAAATTTACAGAGTGTTCGATACAAGGACAAAACTCTGTAAGAAACAAGCCAACAGTCGGGCAACATCACTCTCACTTAATAAGAACCAAAGTTATCGGGTCCGAAAGCATCAACCAATCAAATTGCTTATCTCTGCTTAGCCTAAGCAGAAAATGTCCATAAAGGTATTCGCCTAATAAACACCTACACCAAGTTTGGACATTCTAGGATAATTAGAATGGGAGTTACAGTGTCCAAAATTTGTGGCGGACAGATGGACAGACAGACAGGCGGGCCCATTTTAATAGTCCCCTGCTTTCTTCGAAAGGCGGGGGACAGTAAGAGTTTTCACCCTGAAGATGATAGATAAGAACACACGTTTCTCAATTCATTGATAATTTGCCAAGATGTCATATATCGTTACAGGTATCATCGGGCGAATGATAGGATAAAATAACTCATGTTTCAAAATAATTGATTCATATCTTGTTTACATATATAAACCGACCGACGGACACTGGTGCCGACAACACTGAAATTTGAATGAATATAGATATATGTCAAAAATGACATTATATACGTGTATATTTTTGTAGGTCTGGAGAAACGAGAGATAATATTATGACTGGGAAAGATGAAATGATTGAAATGCTTAGTACAGATTCTAAATGCTGACATCGAAAGATACGTGTTTATATGGGACACATTTCATATCCTTATTTTTACCACTTTATGGTATATCCTTGGACTCTTTATGTAGTTCCAAATTCCCCTCACTTTATTTTAAATTTTATAGTATATATACATATTCACGTATTTGTAGTAGCAGATGCTGACTAAAAATTCATATACATGTAGTTGCGATTAGTCTTGGTCAAAGCCCTGGTCTTTGTGCCTTTGTTTTTTTTTAAAATTATAAGTAGTGTTTATCTGATATTTAAAAACTTTATTTGCTAATTAAATATTTAAAGAACAATCACAGCTACAATTTATTGTATTAATCATAAAAAAGTCACATGCGATTTGCCTATATTTATATACCCATGTTCATTCGGCTGGACTAAGACTAGTAATTATTTCCCCTTATTTCATGTAGTGCGAGTTATAAATAGACAATTTTTCCCTTAATTTTTCTCTCCCCTCTTCCTGCATTTTTTGGTTGACTTTTTGGTCTAGAATTGGAGAAAAGGGATCAAATTTGCAATTTCATAGCAGTTTTGGGTAATACTGATGATATTATAGCGGAGGGATAGGGGGTGTAAAGTGTCTTTCTGCAGAGCAATCATTGTGTCGGAAGTGAGATTTTCACCCCAGTCAACTTCAAATCCGCGTAGCAAAAAATCTAAATGGTCAACCCCCTACAAAATTATGATGAGGAGATTGCCAAATGTTGTCCCCATTGTGCCTATAAAGATTGGAACCAACGGAATCTTGAGCAAAAAGCTACAGCCTGTGATGTTACAGTCATTTAACATTGAAGTCAACGGGCAAAGAATTGCTAGTCTGAGTCTGGCTTATTATGTAGAGTTATCCCCCCTCGGTCGTAGTGATGTCACTTGTAAATTGTACCCGTTCTAATTTCAACAGGTGGGTGAGGGGTGGCGGTACACAAAAAAGCAGTCTTTTCAATTAAACATTTGATCAATTCAACTTATAATGCATGTAAAGATCTTTTTTGTGTTTATTACAATTAAGACAGAAGTTTTAAATGTTATTTTTTACATTGACATTAAATAAATTTTAAAAAATCTACCTATACGTAAATATAGTGGGATTAGATTTTCTATATATAGATATGAATAATTATTCGGTTATTCGGGAGGATAATGGATACTTAGAATATACTGCAGGATTCACTGTCCGGCGCACCTCAAATACAGAAGATCTACATCAGGTTTCTCCACCACACATTAGAAATATATATTTACACTTAAGAGTAATGCACATTTTGTGGGCTATACATGTGATTATTTATCACCAGGTTATGACGGAGAAAAGGGTCACTTTATCCCCTGTAGACTGCAGAGTATCACGCTGTTTCGTCGTGATTTTCACTGCACTCTACTATGGTATCTCCCCCAGATTTTATCTTGTTGCATAAAATCAATTCGCTTTTGAACAGTTCTGTGTGCTGGGTGGGCACTTATGCCGCTTATTATTCCGACTGGAGTTCAGTAATTAACCATATTCTGCAAAGTCAGTGACACCTTTCAAGATATTAAAAGAAACAGCCAGTTTCCCGAAAATAAGATGACTGGAATGGAGGACGGGGGTGAATGGTACGATCATATTATGCCAGTGAATAGTATTATTATTTTATCATTCGTGTTGTTTCGTCACGTATTTTGTATCATTGGATTTTGTATGCATGAATACGGATGCCTGTATGCTATGGAGCCGAATCATTGGCATAGTAACAGTTAATATGTGTATAATCGCCAAGAGTTAAAGGGAGCTAATCTGGTGTACATGCGTGTATATGGAGGCAGACCACCATTAATTTTCCCAATGACTTCAATGTTAATTCTGGCCTCTTTGCCCACCTCCAACTTTTCTCCAAATTTTCGTTGGGCTGAATGCTTTTCACTACCGACAAAGGAACAAATGGTCATGTCTTTGCACTAAAATGTGTATGAGGTTGACCACCAAAATGTTGAGATACACAAACTTGAAGAAGCATACTAAAAACATGTAACTAGTTGCCATACACATCACCGTAGCCAACCTGATAACCCCGTTATCCTTCCGCCTCAAAATCATGAATATTTACCAAAACCTGGCAGAAAATGTTAATTCAAACCCTCTTCATCCATTCTAGACCAAACAATCTACAAAAATGGGCATGCAAAAGGGGAGAAAAGCGGCAGAGAAAGAATTGCTATAAATAGACGAACTACAATTTGTGAGTACCGAGATTTTGAAATTTAATGGTAGTCTGCCTCCTATATGGTTTTATAAGTTCATATATCATCAAAATTCCTTTCTTTATAGCTTCACATTTATTTTTGCAACATTATTATAATACTAAATTAGTGCGATTTATTTTCCTAAATATAAACCATTAATAGGATTTTCAACGATATAAAACTTATATAAGACTTCACACAAAGCATTTCGCTTGCAAATAGCTGCAAATAGCTCCTGGAAATCCAAGATGGCGGCCATATATTGCAGGGATTACCGGATATTTACAGAGTAACGATTACCATGTCGTGTAACGTGTTTTACTTTTGAGTGGATTAATTTTGAGTTTTTTCTACACCAATTCTGACGTCATAAATTGTTCTTAGAAAAGAACAGACGTCGTCTGTTCTGATCAGTCACATACGTTTTCGATTTTCGTAATCATACATGTAGTGCCAATTTGTTTAACTAAGCTTATAATTGTTATTCACAATATCGAATTTCGCAGTTCTGGTGTGAGGAAAGAACTGTTTGGCGTAATTTACGACGAAGTACCTGGGTATGTAAAGGGCGCAAAGTTGCCAACTGGCAAGTAGTTATTGGGTAGAATGGTGTCGCTGTGTAAGGAACCTACTACAGGGAGGAAAATAGTAAGCAGAGACGAAGCTAGTAAAATAGTTGCTGGTGAATTACGTCATGATTGGGTCAGTAAAAATGTGTATCCGCTTAGTGAACGATCTGTGGCCGAACGTCACCGTGAGGATTATGAATTTTTGCTCAATATGCGAAAACGCGAGAAAAGTCCGGGTAACAGATGTGATCAATGGCGATAAAATGACCATCAGGGCGTATGATATCAGAGCCACTGACCCGTTGTACGAAAAACAACTGGAGACAGAATTCGATGTGAAATGACGCCCGAGGACAATGCATTTTATGAAGATAATTGTAAAGGTAACTACATCGCCCGCTGTACTGAAACGGTTCCTCGTTATTGGCTAAAGCAGAAACGTGGGGTGGCAGCACGTCAAATATGACAAGAACAGTCAAAGAAAGCTATCATTGATGAAAATGAGACTCAAATGGAAATCAACATGCGTGAAATCGTAGCTGCAATTAAAGATATACCGGACTCAGAAACTCGTGATCCTGGTTATGAAACTTTTGATACAGACTCCATCTCTACGTCATCACGGGTTTTAATGAAAACAAACCATGTTCAGACTTTCCATCTGTCAAATTCCGGACAGGATATAAGACATTCAATGAGCCGTTGATCCGCTATCTCGTACAAAGTCTGTCAAAGTACAAAGTTACTACTAACGGTTTATTACGTATCTGTGTCGATTTAGCCAATGGAGTCTTTCATCAAAATTGGAAGATGAGTGACGATGAAGACATGGAACAAAACGATAGTGATGATTACGAAGACCAGGTGATGGATGCTCCAAAGCGGCGAAGGCGATGTGACGATCGTACCTATCGTAGAAAGTCGATACGAAACTACTTAGAGGATGCCTCTTACCTCAATTTGGAGATGGTAGCTAGACACCTTGCTGATAGTTCTGGTAACACAATCACTGTCGGCTTAGACGACACCACAAAATCGGCAGGCCATAGATTTTTCAACATCAAACCGGATCACATTACTATAGCAGGACCAACAGCGGACAAGAAGACGTTTACAACTGGTTACGCTGAAAACATTTCACATTCTGGTAAAGATGCCGCCAAGACGTACGATTTCAAACTGAAAAGTTTAGCAATTCTGGCCGATTGTTCAACTGAAGAGCTTAAACAGCACATTGACTTTTGGATGACCGACCGTGCTGGCGATTGTAGCACCATGCTCCAATACCTCAATGTTGACAATGATAAGGTTCTCAAATGCTGCGCCCATATAATTCTTGGTGTGGATAGCGGTGTAGAAAAAGTGCTCAAAGAAACAGAGCAAAGAATCGGAATTGAAAAACTGATAGACTGCTCCGGTATTCTTCGTTCACCATCATCCAGAATTTTGACTGTCGGACTAATAGCTATCACAAAATTACTTTCACCAAGTCACGCAGCGCACTCTGTGTCTCTTTATAATGAATTTGTGAACTGGTTAGAAAACAATAACTTAGAATCTAACGGCTTTAAGGGATTTGTTTCCAACCGTTTGGGACGTATCGCCGAACTTGCCAAGTTGTACATTGCTAAAATGGATCAGATCAGAGACTTTTTTGACGCGATCGTTGATGTAAACTCTAATAAGTTAGTATTAGCTGTATCAACCTTTATCACAAACGACTGGTTCCAGTGTACATGTGAAGTATATAACCTGATCGGTGACATGATAATATTTCCTATGATGGACTTATTCGGAATAGATGGTCGTAAATGCGAGTCAGAGCACAGTTGGGCGAATGTACGAGCTTTTTTCAGTGATATTTGAAAAATTAGCGACACCGCGAAAGCGATTCGGACAAACATTGACCGGAAAAGGACAGTTAATCGGAACCGTCATTGAAGAAATCATTGATGTTTTAAATAGACAGCTATAACAGATGGACTATTTCGATGACGAAACTACGAATACGATTGATGAAAAAAAACTAAGGTATGCTCCTATTACTAATATGGGATGTGAGTCTAGTTTCGCAAGGCTCGATAACCAGATGAAAATTGCAGGAGGGATGACTAAAATGGAAACGCATTCGAAAAAATGCATTATTGCTACTAATGGACTATTAGCTGATGAGAAATTTACAGAACTTGGTGATAAAGAGCGCAGAAATAAATGGAAATAGGCAAGGAGTAGTGACGAGGTTAAACGTGTGAAGAAATTAGAAGCTGACTTCTTGGCCACTGTCAATTGAAACAGCTGAAATTTGGTAAAATGCAAAAACTTTTGGATACGTGTTAACTACACGGAGGTCCAGTCACTGTCTCTTCAATTGGCTATTTGAGGATAACTACAGCACCTGATATCCGCCAAAAACGACGTGTCAAGTCTGACAATGGGCGGTTCCGTTTCCAAAATTTCACTATTCAAGAACTCAGAAACTCAATAAAATCTGTTGTTCATCCAGAATATAAGCAAGACTGTGACATTGAAACCTTGTTAAAATTAGCACTTGCTAAGCGTCGTTAAAACAGTAACTTACTTCGAAAGATCATCAGCAAAAACCTATAAAATGATATATTACATGACACGTTTATCTTTATACTGTAAATACCCGGTTACCCTGGCAATATATGATCTACTGGAAAGTAAAAAAATAGTGAAAAACCTATAAAATGATATATTACATGACATGTTTGTTGTTATTCTGTAAATATCCGGTAATGCCTGCAATATACGGCTGCCATCTTGGATTTTGGCCGCCATATTGGATTCCAGGAGTTATTTGTTAGAGAAATGCTTCGTGTGACGTCTTATCAGAATTATATTGTTGAAAATCCCATTAATGGTCTATACTTATGAAAATAAACAGCATTAATTCGAAGTAATAGCTTAAAAATACGATTTTTACATATTTTGGCGGCCATTTCGAAAATGTGCCCCATTCCGACCGAAAAAAATCATTGAATACTAAAAATTCTTCAATTTTCGTTTTTTTTTTCAGGCAATTTCCCTGCAGATTTTATTTTGATATTGTCCCAACCCTACTTTTAAGTTATGTACTGTTTTGTATACCGGATTGCAGCTCAGGTCCATGGGCCTTTTGTTCTAGAATTAAAGACTATTTCTTAATTTTGCCAAAATGTTAGTTCTGCGAAAAGATTAAAAGGTTTCAAACAATTCACATAAAAAATACTCAAATTATTAGAATATTTTTTAAAAATTGACTT